ATTACAAGATTTCGCGACCATGTTAAGGAACACATACTTGGTGGTTGGAGTGCAGTTCTGGCTGCTGTGTCTTGGACCTCAACTTCTCGGCTTGGTCGTACAGGTTGTAGTGCAGATAGTTGCGCAACAGAAGGTTGAGCAGAGTTTCCTGCAGTCAAATGAACACCACATTTTTTTTGTCAGAAAGCCAAGGACACAGCAGGGGTTTGAGAGAGGAGACCTGGTCATCTGCGTAGTCGTAGTCATCGTCGTTTCAAAGTCGTCGTCGTCCTGGTCGTTGTGGTTGTCATAGTCGTAGAGGTCTCGGTCTCCGTGGTCGTCTTTGTCGAGTCAATTGTAGACGTACCAGTCGTCATCCCCGCCGTCGTAGTCATCTCCATCATCCTCGTCCTTATCCTTCCAACGCCCGTGATATGCATCTCCCTACCATCCACCTCCCCCCGAAAAAAAACAAAAAAAACAAAAAAAACACCTACCATTCATAGTACTGTACGCAAAAGACCAAAATTGGGCAGCAAGAGAGCCTCCTCCTCCTCCTCAAGCCGAGCGGAACAGTGTTCCTCATGCTTGCTCGAGAATCTATCTGATTTCTTTTTCCAGGGCGACGATCTTGAGTTGTCATCATGGAATTGACCGCACCCACGTGATTCTGGACAATTTGATTTTGGTTGCATCTGGATTCGAACTTGCGTCTGTGCATTTCAACAGCTCATGGATGTACCAACTGAGCTAGCCCCGTTGGTATTACATCTGACGACTGAGATCTGAAGCAACTGAAAAAACAACACAGCAGATATTGTTCCAACAACACCCTTCCCCCCCCGATTCAACTGCCTGGCAAGCTTTTAGACCGCTGCAACCGACGTGTGCATTGAAATCCGCTTCATCTCGTAACACAGCAGAAAGGGACACAAAGTTTTGCTTTCCGCACAGCCATCACACCATTAATGATCTTGTAGCATTTACAAAAGAACAGGAGGCATTAAGATAACCGAAAAACCCATCGTACCTGTCCAATATCGTCATGACGAAGTGTTGCAGTCCGATGCAGCGCCAGCAAGGTGCTACACAGTGAGAAGAGAAACCAACCAGGAGGTTCACAGCTGGCCAGTCAACACCTTGTACAAAGAAAGAACACAAAAAATTGCATGGAACTAAACTAAGAAAGGACTACAGAAGACATTTTTGAAACAAGAAGGGGAAAAGGAAAACGCCGAACTGCATGACGGCCGCTTTGTACTCCCCGAAACAGGAAGAAAGAGAGCTTTGCCATTCGCATTCACATTCACCCTCTCTACTCCGATTTGCCGATTGTCAAACTGCAAGACAGCCGTTTTGTAACAAACGTCTGCAAAAATAGCGATCGTTATCAAATCTTTTGAAATTCGGACAAATACACGAGCTCTTAGATTACCAAAAACACACGACTCCTAGCAGCCGGAAGAAAAAGAGCGCTTTGGCGTTCACATTCACCCTCTCTCTTCCGATTTGCCACTTGTCATCCACGCCACACAGAGCAAGCAGTTCAGAAAGGCATATCATCTGGCGGTTTCACCACCGGATCTTCAGGCAGAAAGGAAGAAGGGACCGAGGATCACACATATGCAACAAGTAGTCATCCATTCGAGGGCCGGGAATCCAAGGAGGTCACAGGTAGTCGACGCTCTCGTTGACGGTCAGGAGTCCTCCATTCTCGTTTTCGACTTCCTCGTCCAATACAACTGCAGCGGAAATCAGTCCACATCAGCCATACCTTAAAAAGCCTGAGCATTATTCTCTAGACCCTTGACCCTTGACCCATGCAGATGTAAGCGCCTACAATCCAGAGGTAACAGGCGATCATCAGTCCCATCTACGGTCGAGAGTTGGACATGATTCTCCAGTGTCCACTTTCCCTGCCCAACACTCCTGCTGCCCGCATCACTTGGCATCGGTCATGCCCTAAACCCTAAACCCTAAACCTCGTACCCTAACCTTCATATACTCTGGAGTCTGAACCCTGAGCCCGGGCACGCAAGACTACAATGTAACCGTCCCAAGCGATCCCACAGGTTTCTCATCTAAAATCCATGTTTCGACACTTTTCCCAAGGGCTTTCCGCACAGCTGGCCGACCCAGACAGAAAACTGTAAAGACCCAAGCTCCTCTCTGACTACAGTTTTCACCCGAACAGAACGCCTGGTCATTATGGCTGTATTTGGGGCAACTTTCTGTCTACATACGGCGATAATGACAGGGCGTTCTATTCAGGCGAAGACGGTAGATAGAAAACTCTGGAGGAGGAAATTCTTCCCACGACTTCAGCCAGCCTGCATAATCCAGCCAGACCCAAAACAAGGTGTCGGGTTCATGTGTGACCTGCTCACCTCCGAATTTCCGCAAGCGAGTCTGTTCGCTCGTAGCTGAGCGAATAGTAGCTGTACAGCCTTGCCGCTAAAAGGTCCAGGGTTCGCCGATTCAATTGTTGTAATCTCTTCACAGCCGCCGATGAGCAAGTTTTTGCCTGCTCAAGGATGGCACACACACGATTGTTATACCAAAAAAAAAAAAAAAAAAAAAAAAAAA